AAAAAAAAAAATGTTTCACATTTCACAGACGCAGAGAAGCATAAAAGAAATAAACAGTTACACCTTCAACTGGTGTTTCTTCTAAGTTAGTAGCATTGGTACTTCTGAGGTTATCAAACCCTCAAAATGTTCTTAGACTCTGGGACACCTGTACATGGCTTTTATTGGGCACCACACCCTTGCTCATTTGACTTCAGTGACACCTGAGTAGGTGGGTTTTCTTAGCCCTCTGTGCAGAGGAAGGAAGTGATACCAGGAGGAGGAGGAGGTGTCCTGCCCCAGGTCACCAGGAATGTCTGAGACCACACTCCCGACTACATCCATGCTCAAAAACGCTACTGCTTCCCCTTGCTGCCTGTCACTGAGAAGGAAGCATCCCCTGTGAGTAAAATAGCTGATTACAGGACAACAAGAAGCCTGAGGGGTGAGGATGACAGGCCTCTGTCTGCCCAAGGTTACCTGCCTTCAGTCGCCAGGATGAGCCCAGCACCTGCCCTGCCTAGAGCTCAGGGTCTCCTGGAGTTCCCCAGCGCCCAGGGGGCCCACCTCTTCCCCATCACGCTGGGGCCTCTGGTGAGAAGCCAAGCCCCCTGGACCTCCGAGGCTGAGGACTGTGTGTGGCACTCGTGGGCTCTGCCCCTTCTGAGCAGAGAGGCAGAGACCCCGAGGGAAGCGCCTGGCTTGGCTGCCCACTTGGTGGCCTTGGGACCCGCTGGGCAGCAAGCCCAGGCTGGCCACACCTCTCTTTCCTGCCAAGAGCTGCGGTCACATGGGCCAGGGTATGCTGGGATTGTGGCAACGGGCAGCTATTGGGCTGAGTGTGCCAGGCACCTGGACATGACCATAGGCAGAAGCCAGGCGAAAGGAGGAAGAGTGTATGGCCCCCAAAAACGCAGGGGTCACCTGGGCCCCTTCCTGGCCCTGGAGCCTGCAGACCCTCTGTCCAGCTGGCTACCGGTCTGGGATGTGCCTGATCTCTTGCCCTGGGCCTTGCCCAGGCCACTCACCTGACAGCAGTGGGCGGAGGGAGCCGGTGAACCTGGCCTGGTGGGGCACAGCAAGAATAGGGTGTCACCTTGTCCTCCTCGCCAGCAGAACGCCCATTACCCTGTGGGGATCCCAGAGGCTGTGAGAGGCTAAGGGGAAGTGAGGGTATTTCACGAACAGGGAGGAGGCGGGGCAGGCAAGGGGGCGGGGCCAG